AGGGCTTCTGGCAGGCCCTGAGCGAAGACCCGGTGGCTCAGGAGCGGAGCCGGAAGAGGGTCCTGGGCACAGCCGACGTGGTGGTGCCTGGCCATGGCGCCCCCTTCCTGGTGGTCAGGGAGGCCTGGAGTCCAGAGGCAGAGGGCCCCGAGGCCCGAGACCAGGAGGAGCCCCCGGAGACGCCGGACGCCCGTGAGGGCGGCCCTCCCACCCCATCCCCCAGCCTGGGAACTGAAGTCTAGGTTGGGAGAGGACCAGTCAGCCGGAGTCGGAGGGGCCAGCTGGTCACTCCCAGCGAGGACAGAGCGCTTCTGCCACCGCTGTCACCAATACCACCATTTTAGCAACCAAACTCGGACCAAGGACGGACCAGCTGTGTGCCACCTCTGAGGGTTTCACTAACAAAACGGGAGACGATTGGGAGAGTTGTCCCAAATAAAAATTGGAAACTACGTTGAAAATCATAGTGCCTTAATGTAAATAAAAATTGGAAACTACACTGAAAATCATAGTGCCTTAATGTAAATGTAAGGAGATGAAGTATTAACAGTGACGGTTACGCAAATGTAAACAGCAAACAGGGGACACCTTTTGGCTAATTGCTTATTTCTCAAGAGGTTGCAGGTTGCTGAGAGAAGGTGCAGGGCATGGAAGTAACACCACAGTCATCTGACTTTTATTCATTAATTTATTCAATGAATAGTTATTTAACTCCTATGTCTCAAGCACCAGGATACAACAGTGAACGAGTCAGGCAAACTCCCTGTCCCTCATGGATATTACATTCTATTGAGACAGACAAGTAAACAACAATAATAGTACTAAATCAAATAACTACAGGTTATGGTTAGTGATAGAAAAAATCAGGCTGAGAAGGGGATACGGTTCTGAGGGGTGGGTAGTCAGGGAAAGCCTCTGAGGAGATGATGTTTGATCAGAGAACAGAATGAGAAAGCTGGACCCCTTGATCTGCTTGAGCACCAAGAATCCATGGAGTTGGGAGAGTGGCAATAAATGAAACTGCAGAGTTACTGAGGTTGAAGCCTTGGCTTTTGAGCAGGCCAATGACCTGGGCTCATTTATGTTTTAAAACAATCACTCTAGTTCTGAATGGAAAAGGGGTTAGAGTGGAGCAAGAATTGAATTGGCTGTGGTTGGGAAGCTTTTGAAGTCTTCCAGGCAAGAGAAGTTGATGGCACCTGGCCCATATCCCAGAAGTCCTATTAGGGCTGTGGTCCTCTTCACAACTGTCCCAGTCCCCTTGCCCTCTATCCACACAGCTCTAGGAATGGCAGAGTGCTTAGGTGTGGCAGATGGAGAGGAGGAAGTCCTGTGTGGATGATGAGCCTCCCTGGGTGGATGCGATCAGGCAGGGCCAAACTGGAGATCATTTCCCAGGTGTCTACAAAGGCCACACAGAGGTCAGCAAAGACAGCTCAGAGAAGCCAGTTCACCTGGAGAGTGAACCAGTCACAGCCAGACATGGACGTGTAGGGTGTTGACCAGCTTGATGACCACAAGAGTGCAACCACAGTGGCCCAGATCCTGTCAGTCATCAGATAAAGATGGCCCCAGGGAAGGTGGTAAAGTAGACCCCAGCACTACCACGGTGTGGGGGTCCTGGCCAGGTCCCGGACCATGGAGTGCAGGGAAGCCACTGGTGTGTAAAGGGTGTGCAGGGACCGCTGTAGGCCTTCTAATGCAGCACTCTGGGTGGTCTCCATAGCCAACAGGGACCCTGTCTAACATGTGGCATGTAGGCAGATCCTCTGGTTTCAGGACTGTGGGGAAGTCAGGGGTTATTTAGAGCTATGCCCTCCTACCTTGGACAAACATAAATTCCTGCCCTCACTTTCCAGAACATAGGCATTCTGCTCATTACTCAGGCCTGGTCATTTGGGGCAACACATCCCTTTGGCCACACTGATTGTCTTCAGGATGGACAGGTCACCTAAACAAGTCCAGTCTTGGTAATATTAAGGTTTTCGCTAGAGCTAGTGGAAAAGTCTAGTTTTTTTCTACAAGACTGACATAGGAGGATGCATCATCTTGCCATTTGTCCAGACAGCCCACTGCTGCTGGGGCCACCAAATGGCGACTAAAAATGAAGCTAAGCAGTAGGGGCAGATGTGAGCAGTTAAGAGAAACAGACCTGATGACAAGTTTGAGTGCTCAAAGTCAGATCCTCTGCCTCGAACTCCTCAGTCACCTGGGCTGGCTAATCCACTCCTTTCCTGCCTAAGCTTCTTTGACTGTTTTCAGTTGCTTGCAGCAAGAGGAGTTCTGAATGGATACAGACACGGGTGAAATGAGCCATTACAGGCAGTGAGGATAGCGTGGAGAGAGGGTTAACAGAGGGAAAGCAGGGCTTAAGATATTAGGAAGTTGGGCCCAAAGTGTACGCTTAGAAGTTTCTTTAAAGCTTCCTTTTTGTGAAAACTCTCAGGAACACTTGACCTATATGATTAGATTCCTCTACTCATAAATATTCAATGGCTCCGCATCACCTGCAGGACAATCCAGACTTTCTCTTCTGGTCCTTTTCAAGTCAAAGTTTGTCCAGTTTGGCTAGACTGCCTGCTTCCTTCCAGACAAGCCCACATCCCCTTTTTCTTCTGCAGGCCTTTTTGTTCTTTTCCTGTTGTCTTCCCTCTTTTCTCCACTTTCCAGGCTCAACTCAGGTCACCCTCAGAAATCCTCCCTGATGTTCCCAACCCTACTTTAACTCTTGTAATGCAGTCTCTATATTATTCACTTAGCCTGGTGTTGGTCATTTTTTTTCTGGAAATGTCCTCTCCCCATGGTTCCCCTTGAGAGCAGATACTATGCAAGATACTTCTTTGAATGCTACAGAGCTCAGTATTTTGTCTATAAATGCCATGAAATAAATACATGCTATTTTTCTGATCCACCTGGTTATCTGTTACCTGTTGCCCAGCTCTGACTCCTTGTCTAGGATTTAGATGTCAATCCCTGCCCAGCCTCTGAGAAGTTCCAACATCATGTCCACTTATACAAACAAAGGGGTGTCTCTCAAAGCCCTCCCTATTCACCTTTCTTCACAAGGCTCCAGGCGTCTTGCCATCTCCTGTCATGGCCATTCACGGCAGTGACACACAGATACTCCATCACTGCCATGGGATGGAGTCCCTCATCATGTGGATGACATGGCCCACTGGGCAGCCCAAGATTCTATCAACAGTGCAGAAGGAACATCCAGAGCAGGACACCAAGTGCTCCATATCTCAGTGGTAGAAGCCAGAGAGTTTGGGAGCTAGAAGTCCAGCATGGTATGGGGGTCATGGGAAGAGAATATAACAGGCTAACTACTAAAAAGCTAACGTTTT